CTCTCCCGGCGGACGGCGGTGGTGGACCACGCGGACGGCCGCGGATGTAGCGCACACGGCCCTGCCCGGTGGGTGCCGGCGGTGAGTCGGCGGCTGGGCGGCGGCTGCTTCTGTGTTGGCGCCGTCGCCGGGCGGCCGGCGGCGGCAGGCTCGTGGGCGGATGTGGACGGAAGCGGGCAATAGTTATATCCACATCCAGTGCGTGTTGGAATTTTGGACTCTCTTCCCCAGAAACCCGGAGGCGCACCGGATATGGATAAAAATCTGGCCCACAAAGGCTAGATGTTTATCCATATCCAGTGCTCCTCGGCCTTGCGGCACTCCTTCCCCGAAAGTCCAAGACGCTCTGGATATGGATATAAAGATTGCCCGCATGTAAAGCACCCTGCAGTTTTGCGATTCCTTCTCCAGGTACCCCGCGGCCCCAGGGCTCGAGGCTTCCCCCCGTGGTGTCTTCCTCCCCCTCGTCTCTTCCCCATCCTCCCGGTCCCTCTCTCTCTCTCGCCTTCTCCGCCTCCCGTCCGCTTCTCCTCTTCCCTCGGGGCCACTCTGGTCTTCCTGCCCTTGTCGGGCTTCCGCTGAACAGGACTCCTATGGTCAGGACCTGGCAGATAAAACCGAGCTTTCCGCGGACAGGGACGACGACCCCCTCGTCCTCGAGCCACGTCCTCTAGTCGACTGCGGTGCGGGGGGCTGGCTCGCTCTGAACCGCGTGTTGCGAGCGTGGCCGGAACTCTGGCGCGAGTCCCGTTTCCGCCCCCGCCGAGAGTGCTCATGGGGTGCGCCAGTTTCCCTTTGGTGGGGGGCCCCCAAATTTTCCACCGCCACCACCTCCCTCCCCACCTCCCTCTCGCTGGAAAGAGGAGAGAGGAGGAATCGACGTGGTGGTGGTGTATATTCTTTGGGCCCCCGCCTTGGGATAGCTGCGGCAGATGCGGGCGTCCTGGAAGGCGTCGCGGGCGGAAGCCGCGGCACGCTTCTGGCGGGCGTGGCCTGCCTTCCCGTGCCCCCCCGGGTCTTTGCCGCTTGCCCGATCGCCGTCCTGCAGCTGAACTCCGACCCTTCCGCCCCCTTTCCCCTCCTGCCCCCCCATCCCGTCCCCTCGGGGCCAGATCGGAAATTGGCGCATATATATATATATATGACCAGTGGCGGGCTGTTTTTGAGTCCCAGGACTTTTCGAGGGTCGGGGGCGACGTCGGGGTGGTGTGGTGTATACTTGTTTCCCCGTTGTCCAGGGAAGCAACGGAAAACGTATTCACCAGGATCCCGTATACACCAGGATATGTTTTTTTTTTTTTATTAGATTTTCAGTGCAGTGCCGAAACAAAGCATCGGTGTATAGAGTTCGCTTCCCTACCAAATCGTTCCGTTTCTTCCTTTCAGGCTCCCCCGTCATCAGGATTCGAATCTACAGGGCCCAGTGGATCGCGGACGGCGTCGACGCTCGCCACCTTGGACACGCGAATTCCATGGTTCCGTCAGGCTCCATGGCAGTCGCGTGCTCATTGGACACCCGGGGGCACCCAAACCATCCAGGGTTCCGACAGGTTCCGTGGGTACACGTGGTGCCAACGGGGCCCCCACCAACACGGAGTTATCCCTACTGCCCGCGCCTTGACCCCAATTTGGTTCCACGTCGCTCATGCGGCCGCATGGGTCCCCACCACCTTTTACTATCGGCCGCTTAGGTTTCGGAAGTGGCCGATGAGTCGTTGATGGACCGTCGGCCAAAGGAAACGTCCATGATGGAGGGTCCAAACGTACCTCCACCGTCTGTACGGCGTTACCCCCCAATACACCTGTCAACCAATTGTTCATATTCCCCCTCCCTTTCGCATTGTGCTCTGTTGGTGTTTCGAGGCGTACTCATTCGTTTCCTTCACCGCCCTCCTCCCCCATTCCCTCCCCCTGTTGTCACTTTCCCCCTCTTACACATTACCGTCCGTTAATATTGCTTCTATTGGGGCTGTCGCTTGGCTGTCCTGGGCCGTATTGGGCTTGTCCTGGGGTCCTGTTGGGTTGTCTTGGGGACTTTCTGGGGCACTATTTGGCCGTCTTGGGGTTCTTCGGGACACTTCGGGGCCGTCGTGGGCCGGCGTGAGCTCCCTTGGGGGTGTGTTGGTGACGTCTGGGGTCGCGCCCGCTTTCGTGACGGTTTCCTGGCATTGCCTGCGGATTGCCGGATGCAGTGCAGTTGCGGCGGCGACGGCAGCGGAGTCGTTTTGACGTCTCGGCGCAACGGGTGCCTCGCGTTTCCAAGCGGGGTGTCTGTCTCGGGGCCTCCGACGGCCACGCCGGGACGTGTGAGTGTTGGGTCCCCCCCGCTCCAAGAAAACATGGTGGACGTAAGGAAACTTCGGGTTCCTCAATAGTTCCCCCCTTGGGGGCTTCGATGGTTCGAAAGCCAAGCTGTCGACCCACCAAATCTAACAAGGAGGTCCCAGGTTCACAGGGAAGTAAGGTCCTTATGTGGGTGCCCGGCGTCCTCGGCGGTCGC